GCAGGTAGCAGGTATCTTCATTAAATAGCAGAAGTCACCCTCGGATATTCTGGGGGACAGACCTTCCTGTCTGTTGTTTTGGGGCATGGAAACTAGGGGGAAAAAAACCAGCCTGGCTTGAGCACCTCTGCATCCAGCTCTGCTGCTGACCAGAGGCTGTCCTGGGACAGGCTGGAGCATCTTCCCAGCCCAGAGCATCCCTGCAGCAGGATGAGTGCCACTCACCTGCCTCCAGCACAAATGCTACTGGCTGATGATGAGAAGAAACATCTCAGCACTGAGTCTCCGGGCTTAAATGTGTTGCTCTGTGTGTGTGGCCAAGGAACAGGGCTCTTAATGACTGGATGATGTGTCTTGTCTTTCCCCAGGTGACCCCTGATGCTCTAGTCTACAGCACGAGCTTAAATTACAAGCCAGTTCCTGCTGGCAACCCTGTCATCATCCGCACCAGCCCTGCCGTGGTTCCTATCGAGTGCCACTACCCAAGGTGAGCCAATGTGGGCGAGTACCAAGCAAGCCCATCTGCTGCTACAGAGCTTTTAACTATGGGCATCTCTTCCCCAGGAGGGACAATGTAAGCAGCAATGCTGTCAAGCCCACGTGGGCGCCTTTCCGCTCCACCCTGTCCTCCGAGGAGAAGCTACCCTTCTCTCTGTGCCTCATGAATGGTAGGTTTTGGGTGAGGGTCTCGTCTGGTTCAGGGCACCCTGGGCTGGCTGCTGAGGTGGTCGTGCTTCCATTAGATAGCACAGCTGGTGCTGGTATCGCCCCGGTGCTCCTGGAGCAGATGAAGTTTGGTACAGTTTTGGTGAGTACCCAGGGCCTTGTACCTGTTGGGATTTCCTTAGGTGGAAGCAGTGAAGCACAAGCTGGCTTCCCATTCATGAGTGCCTGCTAATCGCTCTCCTTCCAGATGACTGGAGTGCCGAGAGAGTCTCCACCATATTTCAACTGGGAGAGGTCCTCCACTTCCAAGCTGGTGTCAACACAGAGAACCATGTACCTCTGAGGCTCTTTGTGGACAACTGTGTGGCCACCCTGACCCCACAGAGGAGCTCTTCTCCCCAGTATGCTTTCATTGACTTCAGTGGGTAAGAGCTGGTTGTTCCCTTATT